GTGCGTGAAGAAAGTGTCCAGCAGTCTAGTACTATTGACACATCACATGCATCCAGCGAAGAGTGCGCCTTCAACCATGGTACTTTGGAGATCTGCCCCCTTTCCTAGTCATTGCACTAAATTGCACTACTGTATCCTCTGCACATGAGACATTGTCATATATATACCCAGGGAGTCCTGGGAGTATACTTTGCCACCACGTTAGGGCAACTACGAAACTTTGCCTTGACCACGGCCACCACGCCCCGACCACGCTGACCACGCACGCCCCCTTGCCTATGTACTAGTTGACCGGTATACCCAGTCTCATGTCTCCGGATGCACCTTTTCTTTTCACACCACCTGCGCGTGCAGATGAGGACTGGTTCAGCCTTGGTTCGATCAAACCAAAGCTTTTAGTTCAAGTTGCTGCTGCACAGAAACAAAAAACAAACCACACAGCAGGGTGCAGCACCAAGTTTATGAAAGAAACTCACGCGCCCTCCATTGCATAGACAGCATCCTGCCAGCAATGGAAAGCATCACAAATTAAATAAAGCAACTTCGATCAAATCTGGTGGCCTGACCCACCTTTGAACGCCATACCACACTATCAGAACAACTCAAACCACATCGTACGTTTATAGTGTACGGACCAAAAACTGGGCCACCACCTTTCTTACCTTGCAAACCTTCTCACATGTCACCCAAGGGCACGGGCGTACAAATCTGACCCCCGGTCCTGAGCCTGGACAGCTTCAGGCACCAAGTGCGTTGCTTCCCGGGATGTTGATGACCTTTTAGTGTGATTCCTGGGCCACAACAAATCGATAAACCAGTTTTTAGATTGTATTCGATACGCGAGACTTGACCGTCAGTTGTGAGATTAGATTATATTGTTTGATTCCACCTGCCCCCTAAGAAAGTTCGAGATGATGATGCAGTACAGGCACGCTTCAACCACATCATAGCATCCTCGTCGTGAAAGCAATGAACAAAGCGAGGGTTTTCACCTGGGCTGAGCTTGGTTCAAAAAATAGCGCTATACCAGCGCAGCTAAGTGGCCCTAACGTGGTGGTGGCTAAGTATACTTCCAGGACTCCCTGGTTAACATGTTTGTCAACGTTAAACCCGTGAGGCATTTTCTTGAAAATGAAACGGTGTGTTGCAGCTGAAAGGCGATGCTCCCGGACAGTTTTCAAGATATGACCCATTGCCTCGATTCACACAGCACCAATCAGGCATTTCAAGACCGTGTCAATTTCTTGGAATAACAATACCAACTCAGTAGTCAAGAACACTTTATAAATTAAAGGACTTCAATTCCATGATGTTAGCATGCAGAGTTTGATTGCGAACGAAGACAAAGTGCACATTGATCTTACCAAATAAAGGACAATTACAGGTGAACTTAACATCGCACGAGTCCAGAGTCATGCATGGCTTCACTGGCGCTGGTTGGTTCTGCACACTGGTGTTGCTGTACATCCTTGCAGCCACAGTGCATGGATCTTTGGACGAAGTATGAAGTGGGGCTTGTCCATCCTTGGGGGGTCAGGCTACAACGGATGTTGATGATGCTTGCCAATTAGTCACGCTTGAAAAGACCAACACCCCCCCTCATGAAACACGCAATAATGGTATCCTCAGTGCTGGAAAGTTTCTGGAAGGACACGCGGGCGAGTTTGATGTGCCCATCTAGGTACTGCATACCAGCATCATCCAAGTCTTTGGCTTGTTCTTGAGACCTTACAATGTTGGCACCGATGCATGGGCATAGTCACACACGTGCAGGACTAGATCAAGTTTGATTGAGCAATTAGTGCTGCGGTGATGTGTCCTCAACTTGGCACGATAGAAAATCCCCACTCGAAATCAGCCAGTGCAGAACCAGTGACAAAAACCGCGGGGATCTCTCCATGATGCCAAAGAAACGGGCAATGCCATTCCTGAGATACATGGATCGGACGGTGGATCTTGGTTGGCACAGGCCGGAACAACTATTTAGGTGGGAACCCATGATCATGATCATGAACCATAGCAAAAAGGGGTCCGGTTGATCAAAGGATCATGCACAGGTAAGCAAGAGGCATTCTTGGGTCAGTTGAACTCCCACGAGCTCGCTGCACGACGTCATGCAGCCATTCAGCAATGACCCGGTTGTTATAGGCTTTGCCAGTCATCAAGAGTTGACCGTCTTTCTTTACCACCTTAATTGTGCAAATCAACCACCCTAAAAAAGAACGAGGAACTACGAACTACGAACAAAACACGTTGATTTCTGTTGTTTTTGCATGCACACGCACATGCATAGTACTGGTTTGAAGACCTCCATCTAGTCACGAGGTGCCCCATATAGGGATTTTATTTGGTGATCAAAACGACCAAAAACATTTAAGTTGCATTTGGGCACCAATCGAGGGGTGAACATCTTCTGAGAGTGGGAGATTTTCTTTGCCTTCGTGAAGCTCTTGAAGTCATCATATGCACTCTCAAGTTGCTCTCGGAAATTGTCGCCGTCAAAGAACTTGTCTTCACATAGCATCACCCTGAGTCGTTTGGCGAGTTGGCGACGATCGAAACACCGTTGAATTTATAACCGACGGATCTAGATCGATCGATATGATCTGATATATCACTTATAAATTAAAAGTATTTTTGGCGAGTCACAGTGCGCTCGCATTTGTTCCATATAGCAGCCCTAAATTGATCACATGCATGCTGCACCACCGAATCAGATCTTGTCTGAATCCTCTGAGGGCAATGAGTGGACCTAAGATGTGCACGTTGCTCAGCCCAAGATCACCACCCCAAACATACAATATCAAACGTCACACATGTATATATACACTGACAAATGAGCCTAATTATGCATTGTACAAGTCGGTACAAGTGCACATGCATGTGTATGCGCCGCCTAGTAGCTTGGTTGTTGAGGCATTTGCATCACCAAGAAATCAGCAAAAGTGGAGTACTCCGTGTCCCATACATTGGAATCCTTTTGTACGTTGTAGTAAAGGAAGGGTTCGTTTGAACCAGCCTCGCACATGAAGCAGACGGGTACATGCACACCTCCTTTCCACGATGATCTAAAGGATAGGCATTGCTTCAGCCACAACCAGTCACCCCTCAGCTCTGTGACTGCAAAGGTCTTTCCTGTGACAACCTCTTGCCCCGCTCGAGACAGCTGAGGACCCGAGAGAGGATGGCCATCAATGTCACAATTTGGCCACCGGCCGCTCAACAGCAAATTCATCCGCCATACGATATGACGCCAAATCGCGTCCAGGGTTTTCCTTTGGAACACGAGCTCCTCTTGGAACGCAACAAGGAGGAACCTAGAGCATCTGATGCTACGAGGTCGAAATAGTGGTAGGTTGAGGAAAATACCGACCATCTTCTGATATTCACGAATTTTGCACCCATCGCCGTATAAACCACAAGGTATCGAATTGTTGCTAGCAGGGTGCTCACATGCCCATTTTGCAGAGATCTCTTCAGACCGGTAGTGGCCCCAGTAATCTTTGATATCTTGGTCATTGATCGAAATGCCGACCTTGTTGAAGATAAAGTCGATCACGGATAAGGGGTCGAGCACTTCAAGTTCTTCAATGACATAGCCCAGAGGACTCTTCTTGCATTTAAAGGGAACTTTGATCCTATGGCTTTCCTAAGAGAGATGATGTGTAAGGCAGCAAATGTTTGCAGAGCATATCAAACAATATAAAATAAAGCAAAACTCGACTCTGGTCCGTGAAACGGTTCTGAAGTGCAGTGGCGGCCTATATTGGTGACCTCAATCATGCTAATTTAAAATTTAAGTGCCAAGAAGCAATGCCTGTTCGAGCAAACCTCCAAAAATCCCTGCTAGTATTCCAGCCAGAAAAGGTAGCCATTCGTCGGCTCCAAGGGTGGACTGATGAATCACCAGCTTCCTCAATACGAATCGGTCTTTCAACTCGCCCCAGAAATATTCGAGAGACAACTTCAAGTTGCAGAGGGTTGCGCATCACATCAATTGTATTTCGGAAAAGTCGTTGGAACCTATCAACACAAAAACGGACATCACTGTAATTTAGAGAAGGAACCTTCAGATGGGACCGTGCATTCGAGATTGCCCTGGAGACACTTGAAACCTCAGTCAAACCGAGCTTTGTCATTGAAGTCACAAACTTCAGCCTTGCACGCATGCATAGCTAGCTAAGTTCCTTTGCCTAACCCAGTCCTGGTTTTGACTGCTTATTATTATTTTACAAGAACTTTCAGCAAAAAACAACTTCAAATCGGATCCATCCCCTCGCCCCACACCACTTCATGGCCAAGGAGCTGCAGACGCAACATCGTCGATTGCAGCTTGTGCAACCCAAGCAGTTCCATCACCTGCGAGGGGCACCGGGCATGGCCAAGATGGGATTCTTGGGGTACCAGGGACAAGGTTCGAGTTCGAGGTGGTATCGCATAAAATGAACCGATGCCGATGAACAACAGCCGATATGTAAATAGGTCCTTCATGGTCCTTCATTCTCAAATGAAACCGGAAACTTCTTTCAATGCACAATAGTTCACATGGTCTGTGATGGACTTATACATGATCAGACCGCTTGCGGATTGAAAGTCCATAACCGATGCACTTACAAGAGCTAGCTGTAATGACATGTACTATCATCATTCCAGTGTACAAATGAAATTTTACAAAAAACACAATCCTTTAGATCGATCGATCTAAGCTTTGCCAGTCAAACATAAAAAACCGCAAACGCTAGCGTGTAAATTCTGAGTTCTTATATCACCTTCTGGCAGCACTGCACCCGTAGCGCATAATTATTTTTTTCTGCGCTGCATGAAATCACACAGGCACACATTCACCTGCTATCTTCGATTGTTTGCCATGCCCTGCTCGGCCTAGGAAAGGCACACCTTCCAAAACCCAGACACCCCACAGCAACTCTAGCGAAAACATATAACATTATACACGTTCGGCTAAGCAGATCGATCAAACAATATGAGTTTCATGGCTTTCAAACGTGTAGTAGGGTGTCATTCCCCTTTGAAGGTACTTGCCACTAAAGGCCAAGAAAGGTTAATCGAGTAAGATTGGAGGAGATTCTAATGATCTGGCACGCCCCAACTCCATGGTAACACCAGAATCCGAACAATTTAGCAGAAATAGCACCAGTAAGTTGACACACGTGGGAGAGCTTGCTATTGCAATAGGTCAGGCGATGGGCGTCTATCCAAACCAAAGATCTCGAGATCCCGCCAGGGATCTATCCCTTCTTTCACAAAAACTTGGGCTCGAGTGGGGCGTCAGTGCCCCGAATCTACTGCATACCCATAGCTTTCTTCCGCTCATTGTAAGCAGCAGTCGCCATCCGCCCTGTGCTGGTGAGCTTCTCCATCTTATCCAACTGGGATGGAGCGTACTCAAGTTTTTTGACGATGATTATTGTCAGAACACATCAGTACCACACACTTTTGATCAGCAGTGGTTTATATTGTCGTCTTGAACATGAATATGCGTACCATCATCAGTACTCCCACAATAAACAAAAATAATTAATTCATTGATCAATATTAATTTCTTTGGGGTTGGTTGGGGAAGTAAAAAACTTTACTGGTCCAACCACCAGGACCCGTGCCCCAAATGTCATATATAGTACGTCGGAATCAGTTTCCTATCACAATCAGAACAAAGCTGAAACATTATTTTTTCTAACTCATGATACTATAGGCCGCTACAAAATCAAGGATAGAAGCTTTGGATGGCTATCGATTAAACATGGTGCTGAATCATGGGTAGATTGTCCATGAACCCCCTACGTCAAGGAACCTGATCCAAGTCCAATGCATCCTGAAGAGTCGTTCTCGTGGATTTCAAGCTCGCTTGTTGAGCTTCAGCCTCTTTGCCAAGAGCTTCTTTGAGAACTGGGTCGGCCCTAAGGTACAAGCGCGGGCATCGATGACACGGGCTTCAATGACTATGATGTCGTATCTTGATGCAAGTCGATTCATCAAGGGGTCTTGCCAAAGGGAATCGGCCGGTATACTCTAGACATCATAAAATCACACACCAAGGTCACCTAGGATCAGGACATGAAAGAACGTTAACTATGTGACGTGTTAATCATGAGCTGTGAATAAATGATAAATATAATAATACTGACAATCTCTCTTGGCATGTTTATGGAACTCAATTTATATTGTAAAACCCGAGCCAAGGCTCACAGAGCTCGCATAGGTAGCACGCCGCACCGTGTCCCCAATGCAAACATCCAAAGCAGCAACTTCCTGTCGTGATTTGATTGTGGACTGTGGGACCGTGGATGGAGTCAACAAGGTGCATACTGCCTCCTTCGCCAATAGCTAGCACAGATGTGAAGACACATCCATGGATATGAGTCTTTGCACTGCAATGCTAAATTATCCACAATTCCAAATCAAAGTATCACATGTTTATAGCACAGTCAGAGATGCTACAGCGCCCGGTGAGAAATGCCCAGCCTTCCTCAAATCTGCACGCTTTTTGTTTTCGCTCTTAGTGATCTCTCGTTTCTTTTCTGCTTCCATTCTCTTCTGTTCTCTCTCGGCTTCTTTTTCTTTCTTCTTTTTCTCTTTCTCTAACTCTTTGAGTCTCTTCTTGGCGTCTTTGTCGGGGCGTCCTCCACCTCCACCAGTGCCTCCCCCTCCACCGGTCTCCTCGTCCTTACCGGCCACCGGAACATCATTCTTCTCCGTTGTTGTCTTAGCAGTCTTAGCATCTGCACCTGTTGTTCTGCTGCCTTTCTTGCTTGCCTCATGTTTGCGTTTCTTGCTGGATTTCTTCTTTGAACGGCGACGATGGCTGCTCGAAGAGCTGTCGGACTTGCTGTCAATGGTTGCGACGCTCGGACTCGTGCTTGCAGAGGAAGAAGACCGCTTGGACTTTTTCTTCTTTTTTTTGTGCTTCGACGGCTGATCATCACCAGCGTCTTTGCACTCGAAAAGGGTTTCAACGGTGACATCTCGCTCTGTGGTCTCATAGCTCTCATCCCAAATCAAGAAGAGTCTCATGTCAAGCCGAAGCGGAGCATCTGGGTGAGGTCGGATGTGCGTTTTCTTCATATGTGCATCTTTTTCTTTTCCTTCTACTATCTCCCGGGCGATTTGTTTGGCTTCCTCCAATGATCTGCCCGGTAGGTACTTGGCCACGATGTCAGCCTCGGTCATCCAGCGTCTTCCTCCAACTGTACGCTCCGTATTCCGTTCTCGCATGCGAAGAACAAAGCTGGATTCCTTCCAATTCTCGCTGCACTTCATCCATTCTTCAAACAAGATGGCGAGCTGGTCAGTCTTGCGCCCTCCTGGTAGTGCGTACCGGATCGATTGATATAGACAGCGCACGTGTATGATTGTTGATTATTGTAGTGTTGATTGATCGATCGATGCATGCACACACACGCGTATACCTGCAGTGCATGACCAATGGTTGGAAAATAAGGCATGCACTTATAAGTGCAAGATATTTTTATATCATGTCATATCTCACTGGCTTCTTCAAGTCAGATCTAGATCGATCAGCGGGCCCAGTACTAGTCCTGATGCAGCCCTCGCGTTTTCACCCAGCTGGATAATCTCTGGAGGAGAATTCGGACCTGAGATCGAAATGGACTGCATGTTAAGGACACAAGGGTCAGTTGCAGGGTTGCTGTTGTTATATACGTCAAGCGGGTATAGATGATGA